ATATATATATATATATATATATATATATATATATATATATATATATATATATATATATATATATATATATATATATATATATATATATATATATATATATATATATATATTAATTGTGTTATTGTACACTCTGTAGGTCGCGGGTTCAAGACCCAACCGCGGCAGACAACATATATATATATATATAGTTTTTCGTTTTACCTCAAAAAACCATATATATATCGTTTTACCTCAAAAAACCATATATATATATATATATATATATATATATATATATATATATATATATATATATATTTTGAAATAACTTATTACGAAAATGGCAGTACCTTGTTTTTCCATCGTTATTTTTATAAGTACTTCTATAGAATCCATTTAATTCTTTGGTTTCAATATCACCATCAAAGTTTAACTTTAATTTGTATTCACCAATTTTAAGTTTGTAAACCAGTTCCACAACAAAAAACTGATTTTTCTTATATTCGAATTGTTTTCTTATCTTGAAAGGTTTTCCTTCGGACGAACCAAGTACTAGAACTGTATTAATTGTCAGTTTATTTGTATGAAATATAATAGTATTCGTTGATTTAGTTACGTGGAAAGATATACTCGATTTTCCAGAAAATGTCAATTCATTCAAGTTTACTTGGATTAACAAATCATAATGTTTTGGTCGGATATTGCTAGGCAAACGAAGTTGTTCCCAAGGTTTCAAAATCTTACGCTTTTCGACAGAATTTTCTACGTTTGACAAATGTTTGCTATCTCCATTCAATGATTTTACTTCACGCCTCGAATTATTTCCCTGTTCATCATACGTTCCACCATATTTAACAATGTTACCCCTAACTAGAAAGATTACAATGACAAAACAAGTTGCAAGTGCAAACAGTAGTCTATTTCCTTTCGTACTGAGATTGTTTCTCCAAAAATCTGAAATGAAATTCATCTTTGTTGGTTATTATAGCTTCCATAATGCATTATCTACCACAGACATTGCAGACGCAGAAATATTCAGCACAAAATCATGACAGAACTAATTCTAAAAGAAAAAAGGGTAATCATTACATATATCTTTTAGGCTGTGCGGTTTCACGTTGGTCATATTCCGCAAAATTCCGCAAAAGTTTTCTCCCAGTACAGCAGGCTCATTTTCCCAGCGGATTTTCGATGAAAAATTGAAAGCTTTGCGTGCACAGTGCTTTACAGTGCTGTAAATTTTGTGTCAGACTGTTGCTGACAACTTATGAGCTAACACGAGTGGCAAAATATTTGCCAAATTTGACCAATTTAGATCGATTCTATATTTAAAATTTTCTATAGTTTTCAATTATCGGGCATGCAAAGAACTAAAACAGTGAGACGGCTGTATTTTAACAACGATTAGTGCGAACCATTTTTTAAAATTTTGTTCGTAACAAGTTTTAACTTCTTTTAATTAAGTATTAACTTTGCGGCGTTTGGGCAATCTTCATATACCAGCTGGTAAAATCATAAAGTGTTAATTTAATAAAACTGTATACCTGGTTTAAATACATACCTGGACCAAGTGCCGCTATTTCCAGTTAATTAAACATCGTACGTCTTAAGTTTCTTTCAAAAAGGTTGTAATGTAGGAACATTCTTTCACAGCATAGTATAGATAAATTAATATCACTTTCACTTCAAGAACCAAGAAACGATCGAAGCAGTAACAGACTAACAGGTACCTGTTTCTAAATAAGGACAAACAACTGTATAGTTGTTTGTATTAATATTTTTGAAGCTTTTCGTGTTTATAATTATCACGAATAATCTAAGTTATAATTAATAGATCAACTATATTATTTTTAATACGAATAGCTAAATACTGAAATTAACCACACGTTATAGACCAGGGCGCTATAAAACAGGGTGTTTAATTTTATAATATAGCGCCCTGATATTGACACAGTGTTGGGAAACCGGCTCAAAGTCTGCAGATTCAGTGTTTTTGAGGCGACGAAAATCTCCGATCGGTTATTGGTGCATGGTAATCATGCACGTACGTGATATAAAATCTAGATTAATTAAACATGCAACTAGATATACATGCATGCATGCAGCAACACCTCGCCTTTTCTAAACAAAGTAAATGTAATTCCAAAATGTTGTTTCAATACCAAGTATTTCTAATTGCAGTTGAAATCCTATGGTATAATTGTAATCATATATATATATTGTACAAAGTGTGAAAATTTAAGAAGAATAAGACGTTTAACTACAGAATCCGTATCGATTCTCAAAATCCATGATACAGTTTTATGTTGTTTGACATTCAGTAAGATTCACGCTATTTAAAGGATGCCCAATTTTGCATGGTTAGGGAGGAGGTCGCGGCGGGTCAAGGATCCAAAATATCCATGCAAGATGAGGTACTTACCCCATAAACTGTCTCAAAGCGAGCAGTGCTCTCACAATCAAATTTTCGAATTCCTTAGAAAAAGCTCGAAAATTCCTCAGATTTCCTTAAAATTCCTTAAATTGGTAAAATTAATTACCAGAAGGCCTGATCACACAGTTGCAAAAAGTGTTTTTTTCCTCCTTTTTGCAGTTTTTATAACCTTGTTTCTAAGCATTTGATTGTTAGCGTAATGCCATAAAGAAAACATTCAACATGATGTATTTTTGATTGTTGCTGCATGAAGAGCTTAAAAAATCTGTAGATTTCAGAAGAAACAGCATATACTGACATTTAACTTTTGAGAATTTTAATGAAAAGACCTGTGGCGGACACTTTACGAAATATTGGGGGGGGGGAGGCTCGTGCCAAAGGCACGGAAAAAATTTAAAGTTTGAATCCCGGAAATGGCATTTGCAGCGTTCTGAGAACACATTTTGTGAAAAACTAGGGTTTCAAAACACTGTTTTAAGTTTTGTTATAAATCACATGCCAAGCCATGTACAGAAACATATACTATTATATTATGATGATAATTACGTTATATGAGTGTGATTTGTGTTATTTGGTACTGGAACCAAATTGGTACAGGAACATAAGAACATTTATGACATAGAGAACATACGAATATTTAACAATTATTCGCTGAAGGCGAGGTGATTATCGGTGAATAAAAACCGAGACGAAGTCGAGTTTTTATTCACGATAATCACCGAGCCTGAGGTGAATAATTGTTTTAGTATAATTTCATAGGTGATTATTTGGAAAAAAATAAGAAAATACACATTTCTTTGTCATTTAATTGACAAAATGGCTTCGGCCGCCATTTTGAAAATCGCTTAGGTGATTATCGCGTAATAATCACCTCAACGGCAACCAATCAGCGTGGAGAACTTTCAATAATCACCTATGTAATTATAGTAAATGTAATTATATGCGTATAATGTTGCTACTTTCAAGTTTAGATCTCATTTGCGTGGCGTGGTTATCCTCTGTCCAACGTTTTTAGTCCAGGATAAAATGTTTCGGAAATTCCTTAAAAAAATCCTCAAAAACCTAAATTCCTTAAAAAAATCCTTAAAAGTCTTCAAAATTCCTATTTTTAAGGATAATTCCTTAAAAGTGAGAGCACTGAAAGCGAGATTCGTAGCAACTGCAGTGAGTTTACGTGATTCCTTACACGTATTCTCTATATAGAGTATACTAATCAGATATAAAGCACACTGCAATGATCATTTCAATAAACTCACTGCGAGTATTAAATAGATAAACTAAAAGAGATCTAAAACTACACTATGATCTTAATCACAAAGTCGAGGCTCTGCCAAGGTTAAGCATTTTCCGTTTGGGTATGTTAAATTTATCATGTATTGAAGGTGTTCTTTATGGAGACTCTGATTGCCTGGGCGCTATACATTTATAAGATGATTGAAATCATAAATTACATAGAATGGCGTTGAAATTAATAGCTACATGCATCATTTTCCCTCTTTTGAAATCATTATTATTATTGTTATTATTATTTAAATATCTTTTGACACGCGGTAAAGGTTCCAATATAAAGGATTGTTTTTCATGTGGCCGTGTAATATACATTAACAAAAAACAAAATTATTATGCCAATAATCCCATACATGCATGCAATACTATACATATACATACGAAAGACAAGAAATACGTGTGACTTTCATTTATCATGAACAATTCCACATTACCACATTGTAGCTCCTCTGTAGCCGAAGCCATGGCATGGCCCATGGAATTTGTGTTGGGTTTAGGTAATTCTAATTTGTTATTATTATTATTGCTTCTCGAATCATAGCTGTAGCGACTAGGCATTTGGAAAAGGCTACTTCTAAACTTGAGGTATTGGCAATACACTCATTTCAGACACTCAAAAATTGTTGGTTTCTTCTATCCTGAGGGGTTCCCCACCAAATTTCAATAACGTTTCCGTTGCAGGTGAGTGATGAATCTGATGATCAAATTCTTCATCTTTGAATGCAAGGCATATTATGTGACTGCATACTTTCTATGCAACTTATGACTGCATGCATATTTTCTATTAATTCTTTTCTAATTCTCCAAATCTGATGAAAAATCGAGGTAGAGGGTATACTAATCAGATATGAGTGTATGCCTTACAATCTTGTATGCCAATCTATCTTGTATGCAGAGTGTATGCCTTCCAATCTTTAATTCTTGTCACTTTCTATAGCTATAGTACAGAAAATAGGATTCTAAATACCACAGAAACACGTTAATTGTTGGATTGGGGTATATGATGCCAGTAAATTGCACGATGATCATGTTGCCGTCTCGTTTAAAAACATTCAGGTTTTTAATTACCTGGCAGCTCTGCACAAACGGTTCAGTGGTAGTGGTAGAGGAGGAAGCAGATTGAAAGTTTACATTATACTGCATAAAAGAAAAAAATAATACGGTCCTGTTTCAAAAATTGATTTTTGGTATCATCTCAAATGAAAAAAAAAGCACGGGCCGTTTGCCTAATGCGTGGATAATTAATTCATTTTATTTCGAATATCGAAGTCCGATCCGACTACGAAACAACTTTATCAATCCGATCCGATCCGAAATGTACATTTTTGTTCCAAATCCGAACGAATCCAATCGGATCGGACTTTTTATTATTATTATTATTATTATGAACTATATTTCAACACGGTACAATTTCACCTATACTAAAATTAATTATGTACAAGATATAAAAAGAAAAAAAGGTGATCTTCCAACCGGCCGTGCTCACACAAGCAGAAATAAGAAATAAATAGTTACAAGAAAATTATTTTAGGTAGATGGAAACAATGGCAGGATTACTTTCATGATGTTAATTTGCATGCTTCAAGTTAGACTTAAAATTAGCAATAGTTGTTGATGCTTTTACCGATGCAGAAAGGCAGTTCCAGACTTCCGCACCTCTGTAGGAGAATGCATTTTTCATACTATTTGTTTTTGGTTTAGGCAATGTCAAATCGGCTCCCGACGGTCGTGTACATCACCCACATTTGTGAACATATCATACAAGTAATCGGGCATCAATTTGTTTTTCACCTTGTACATGAGAATTGAAAGTTGTTGCATTCTTCTTTTTTCGAGGTTCGGAACTTTTAGCTTGTTTAATATATCAGCCTATCATGTCGTATAATTCTCACGAGTGATTATTCGAAACGCTCTGTTTTGTAATTTTTGAACTTTAGCTGCTAATGTTTTCCCTAAGCAGCCCCACACTTGAGCACAATAATCGAAATAAGGTTGAATTATGGTTTAAATATATTGTTATTAAGGTATTGAATTCGACTGTATCCCGGAGTCGTCTGAGAATAGCAAGGCCTGAGGTGACCTTTTTTGAAATGAGTTCGACTTGCGCGGTCCAGTCTAAAGACTCGTCTATCATTAGGCCCAATGAGTTAATTTGTTTGCGGACAGCCAATTTGCAACATTGTTTAAATCTCTATTTAATGTTTCAGTGATTACCGTTTGATATCGTCACTTGATGTTGCAATTTGGGTATCATCCGCAAACATGTCTGGTTTTGTCCCGGCGTTTAAACATTTTGGTAAATCATTGATGTAAATTAGAAATAACAATGGGCCTAAACCAGAACCCTGAGGTATGCCTGTTTTCATAATTGATGGACTTGATAGTTTGCCATTCACACAACAGCACTGGGTCCTATTTGATAGATACGACTCCAGCCAGCGATGTGCCGTTCCCTCAGGGGCGTGCCGGGCGGGGGTGTGTGGGGGGTGTTACACCCCCCCCAGTTTTCTCTTAGTTTGTCGGTAAAATCGGAAAATTGAAGGCTTGTCGGTAAACTAGTTAATTCATCGTCGGTAAAATACTAAAATGAAAAGTAACAAAATATTTATTAAAACTGAAGCAATTATTCTGCAATTTCATCTGGTATTTCGTTGGTAAATCAAGAATTCAAGATTTCTGCTGGCGATTAAATGCTCGATCATGTCTAACAGAATAATGTTTATTGAGAAATACGTTATTCGATAGTGGTTTTACATTGATATCCTGTGGTCGGTTAAATTGCGTCAGCACGCGTTGCGCTAATCCTGTATTTGCGTAATGTATCTGCCAACAATAATATAATATAATATATAATCCGATATATCGATGCGCGATTTAATAGCATTCAC